AACTCACTAAGCTTTGTGCTTACAGTGTTTGATGTTATTTGTTTCAGGTACTAGTGACGACCGCAGGAAGGCGCCGGCTTGATCAGTACACACGCATGGGATTTATGATTTTGAGATCTTGGGATTTTGTATTACTTGGATTGAATGATTAAATATGGTTGTTTTTCTGAATATTAAATGAATTATGTTTTATAAAAAAATTTGAAAAATTTGTGTTGAAATTTACGGTGTTACAGTGGAGTTGGTTTAATCAGTGCCTAAACAATTTTTTGTTGCTTTTATGGGGAGTATAAGGTAATTTTTGTCGGGTCTAACCGGTCATCATGAAAGAATAGAAGGGTAAACTAGTCTTTTCCACCTCATTTAATTTTTATCCATGTAATTAGTGACTGTATTGGTTAGGTTTTTAATTATACCAAATTGTCTACCTTTTTACTCTATCATTTTCCTTCAACTGAAAACCCTTACTCCATTTTCTCACTTCAAACATGGTTGTATACATCATTGTCGATCTGCACTTCCAAGTTATCTTTTTCAAATACCCCATACGATACATCGATGATATTAATTAGAGGCTGGAGAACAATTGTAACATCCCAAAAATACAACAATTTAAACTTTAAAAAACAATCCATAGTTTTAAAAACGTTTACAAAATCAATGTTTCCAGATTGTTTATCGAATATCAGAGTATCCCAAAATCATAATATCATCTAACAAGAGGACGTGTACGGTCACACCTTTGTCTTCCCGTGATCATCAGAAGTACCTGAAACCATAAACTAAATCTGTAAGCCAAAACATAGTGAGTTCTCCCAAAGTATCACCACACAAACGAGATATACAATCAAACATATTGGGTCCAATCAACCATGGGGTTGGAATACATCAGGACCAGTCAACCTCTGTGTCTAGTCATCCTTAGGATGGAACACCCCATGTTGGAATGCCAATATACAACGGGTCCAGTCGTCCTCGGGATGGAATACCCTTAGGCCCAATCAACCATCGAGTTGTAATGCCTCCGGTGTAACTAGGGATGTCAACGCGACCAAATGGAAGCAGAAATAGCTACCCTTGCCCCCGCCCTAGAAATCAGTTGCTGCCCCCGTTCCTGAATCCCCCGTTTACATAGCCCCCGATCTCGCCTCCTGTCCCGCACCCGTTCCCCCAATTCCCCCGGTTTATAGACTTAAAATTCATTTTTTTTTGCTAAAAATTTGCTTTGTAATAACTTTAAAAGCTTAAAACCTAATCTTTTAGAAACTAAAAAATTAAAAATCCAACATTACAAAAAGAGAATTCCAACAATCTTACAAATATAAAATACGACAAATCCAACATTACAAATATAAAATACTTACATATCCAAAAATATATTATCAATTCACTATATCTTCAATATCCATTAATTGGAGATGGGAAAGCGAAACCTAACCTAAACCTAAAATTAGAAATCTATTTTGTATATGTGTTTTATATTAAATTTACATTTTTTACATAAATGTACAACTGAGGCCCTGTGGGAGTATGGGACGGAAATACTGATTCTCGACCCAGGTCCCAAAAATAAATAGGGTTAATTCTGCCCCCGCCCCTGCTCCCGCTCATGGTTTTTTTTTTAAAATTTTTTTTAGTCCCATACGATATTAGGGTCCCACGGGGGTTTTTTAGATCCCTATGTGTAACACCCTGTTCCGAATCGTTTTCTAATTCGGAGTTGTGGCATGAAGATCAGTTATCATAAGGATTAAGGCCTTTATAAAAGAGAGATTTAAACCCATTTGGATATGTATAATGTAATTTAGGTGGTCTGGGAGTTCGGTTTGTGTTTTAGAGCCAAGGGGTATATCGGTAAATTGTTAGTTCGAGTATTTATGGAAATTGGATTTTAGTTTCGGAAGTTTTAAGGCAAGTATGAGTTTATAGGAGCATAGAGATTCTTATTACGTTTCCATGGATATAAGGATCGTTAGAAACGGACTTAGAACAAAGAAGTTATGGCGTTCAGAAGTTTGGTGGTTTTAGGGTTAAACCGAGTACGTGGGGTATACACAAGTGTACGTAGGGTGTACTAGTGTTAAGTCCAGTATGTGGAGAATATATTGGTGTACGATGGGTGTACTAAGTAGATGCATCGCCTGAGTTCTTTGGAGTATGCTCGGTGTACCAGATTTATGCATGGCGTACTCCAATCAAACCCAAACCCTAATTTTGTGTCTTGGACCCTATTTCAGCTCCTTAAATCACCACCAAACCCTATTATATTCAACATCCATCCCTCTAAACCCTTGAAACGAAACCTTAGCCCCCATGTGAGTGGTTTTTGAGCTTTTGGTGGTATTTCATGCTTTTTGGTGTTCATATAAGTAGAAGGAACTTCTTAGTGAAGTGTGAGATTGCTTAAAGATTTTGGATCCAAGCTTGTTGCATCTTGATCTACCATCTGTATGTATAAAGTTTCTATCTTGATGACTCTAGATGTTAGATCTAGTTTAACAAGTAGTTTGGGTTCACTTTGGTCCTTAGAGTTATCCTTGTGAGTATGAGCTACCGCAGGAGCTTACAATGTTATATCTTGTCCTTTGGGAGGTCCCTTGTTCATAAAAATGTCATCTTGATGAATTATTTTGGATCATGCATGAATTTCGGTGTTTTCTATGGATTTTATTAAGGTTTTGGTCAAGGAGTAAATTTGCCAACTTTACGTGTTAAGACATCTCATTAGGGTCACATCTGAGTTTGGAAGTCAACGTCTTAACCATTAAGAACTTATTTTGGAGTTTTGGGCCCCTGATGAATATGTTGGGTGTACGCAGGAAGTATGCTTAGCGTAATGAAGGTTTCATGAATTATTATCTTGTACATTATGCTTCGAGGGTGAGTACGCGGGGCGTACCATTCCAATATACGGGGCGAACTCCCCAGTATGTCTTTTTGAGCCTTCTTAAGGTTTAGGCCTTGTCGGGCCATTAGACTTCATGTTTTAGGCTGTGGATAGAATAAGGGTTTCTTGGAAGTAGGTTCATGATGGTTTTGGGCCCAATCAGATTATTGGGTCATAATCGGCTTTTGTTGCTATTAATTTGGGCTTTGGTTTTGGGCCAAGTAAAGAAAAGGGTAAAATGGTCTTTTACCCTTTAGGAAGTTGGATGATGGAGTGGGACTTAGATTTTGGGTTTCAGTATAATTATAGATTAAGATTTGTATTTATTATTAGTTGGTGCGAGGTTATTTGGTTCACCGACCCGAGTAGTCATTTGATTATCAGTGGATTGAGGTGAGTTTCCTCACTGGGTTTAGCGGGTCGAAGTCACCATGCCAACCCATGGTTTATATGTTAGGATATTAGATGTCTGTGTGACTCTTACATGTGTTATGTGATGGTATGCTTACCAGGCAAGGCCCGATGCCAGGAGGGGCCTGATGAGTATATTGTATGCTAGTTATCAGTATGTGTTTTTATGCTTACTAGGCAAGGTCCGATGTCGGGCGGGGCTCAATAATTGTATGGTATGTTATTGTCTTTGTGATTATCACATTTTTTCGTATGATTATATGTTTATATGATTATATGTCAACCGGGCGGGGCCCGGTGGATTCTATATACCAAGCGAGGCCCGATGTCGATGAGACCCGAAGTCGGGCGAGACCCAATGTAGGGAGGGGGGGTAGTAGGTGATTATTATGTATGATATTTGATATTTTGGGGAACTCACTAAGCTTTGAGCTTATAGTAATTATTGTGATGGATTTAGGTACTTCCGATTCGAAAGGGAAAGGGTCGACTTGATCGCAACACATCCACCCATGTTTTCGCAGTATAATGATTTTGGGATTGTACTTTGATAATTGTTTTCTTATAAAGTACTTTTGAATATTTAGAAAAAGGATATTGAATGTTGACTTAAAGATAATTAATGTTTTGGTTGAATTAAAAATGGAATTTTTACCTCATAATTTTGGGACGTTACAAGTTGGTATCAGAGCCTTGGTTTGAGGGATTCAGGCATACACTCGGGTATGCTTGAACTCAAATTTAGGAATTCATAATCTTTTGAAAGAAAATGGGTTTATAAAAAGATTTTGTAAAAGGGAATAAATTTCTAGAAGGATTCTGTAAAGACAAATTGGGTGTGATGTGTGCAATTGACTGAGCTCAAGTAAGTGATTCCCAGAATACCCATACATGCTTGTTATGATTATATGTTATGAGAATTGCATGCTAGGATAAGGCTAAGGATATTTTCAGGAATTAAATGATAGATTGGCTAGATATGTGATGCCTTGTAGCCTAGGAAGCATTGAATGCTATACTAGAATGGGAATATATTGGTATTTGTAATTGTTAAGTGCATGCTTTAAAAATTATATACGGTTAGGATCATATAGCCCGAGAATGATTGATTTAGCCTTATTTCTTGTTCCTCGTTTGGTTGTGGTCCTTGGGTAGAATCTTTTATTGGACAGTCTATTTGATCATGTACTGTGTATAATTTGCATGCATAAGGCAACCAACAGTGAGAGTGGAAGTTTCTAGCATGAGTTGTAGTATGTGAGTTTGAAGGTTCTTTGGTTATTCTATGCAATGGAGTGCTACTACACGAATGTTTCTTGCTTTGTGCTTTGTGGAACTCTTAAATGATGTGAGTTAGCTATTAAGTGAATATGTTAAGACACGTGTGACAAAGGTTGAATAATCTCATAGTGATGGATTTAACCGTATTACGTAGCTCTCGTTTGAGTCTAACCGTTGTAGGGATGAGTCTTTTACTAGAAGGATTATCTAATCTTTGTTGCATGTGATTGTATTCATGAGGTGGTTAATTGACATTATGGGGAGTT